ATCTTGTTGTTGTTGTTGCTCTAACCAATAATAATAATAATAATAATAATCCTTGCATTTGATATAGCGCTTTTCACGTCAGGAGGAAGTCCCAAAGCGCTTCACAGAACACACTGTAAAGTGAATTGACTGTATATTTGTGGGCGAACGCGGCAGCCAATTGCGCACAGCAATGTCCCACAAACAGTCGTAGATTGAAAATGACCAATTTAATTATTGTTTTTGGTTTTTTGGAGGGATTATTATTAGGCGTGTGGAGTAAGGAAACTTGCCCAAGGTTTCGCCCTGCCTGGAATTGAACTCAGGTCTCTCACTTGCAAAGCGAGTGCTCTAACCACTGAGCTACAGGACTCCAATCCGCTGAGGGTCTCCATTAATAAAGAAACCAGTAAAGGCATCTTACAAACATTGATAATCCCACAAAGAATGTAGAGCATGACCTGTTTCATTGTAATATTAATAATCGTCTTTGCATTTAATATAGCATAATGTCAGTTTATACCGTTTATATTGTGTATTGCGTAGAAAAAACAGGGCAGCCAATTTGCACACAGCAATATCACACAAACATTCATGAAGTGAATGATTCATTTTATTAGGAAGGAAAGTCACCAAGAGAAACTCCCTTCTCTTTTCAAGTAGTGTCATGAGGTGTTTAAAATCCACCTGAACCAGCAGACAAAACTTCAGTCTCATGTCTGATCTGAAGGATCTGAAGGTTCAGACATTAAACTGAAGCACCTCCAACAATAAAGCACACCCCCCCACATTGAATTGGAGTGAAAGCCTAGACTGTACAAGTTCAAAGTCCTGACATGGGGCTCGAACCTACAACCTTTTAACTAAAAGTGTGCACCAACTACAAGATTCTTGTCTCAAGAGAATAATATGTAGAAATTATTTTTGCTGCATTGCGACTGTGCAATTGAATTTAGGTAAATAACATTGTCTAATCTTTAATCATAGGTGTTTGCAATTCCTGTCAGATGCCTCTTATAATTTACCTTTTCACCTGGTGATAGCCTATTTTTCACATTAGTAAAAATAATAATCCTTGCAATTGATATAGCAACCTTATCACGTCTTCGAGATCTCTCAAAGCGCTTCACAGAATACACTGTAAAGTAAATTAACTGTATATTTTATGGGCGAAACGCAGCAGCCAATTGCGCACAGCAGTGTCCCACAAACAAACATTACCAGCAAGCCTTTAATTTTGTCCAGTCTCTGTATAATTAGCTACTGACATGCTTCATAGAATGGGTCGGGCACCTGGCAGTGCTATTAAACTTGCTGCACATTTTTCCATTTTTTGCAGTAATCATAGTGGCAGAGATGGTGCTACAGAAGCTCACCTTAGGTCTGGTGCTTCCCAAAACAATACACTCTCCAGGTTTCAAAAGCACCTTGAGACATCCTTACAATGTGAAAGGTGCCATAAAAATTAAATTATACTCTATTGTATTACATGGACAGGACTCCAATATATGTTCCATGACATTTTTGTTATCCCGTACAAATATCATTTCTACCACGACCAACATGGTCCCAGAACCTGATGTATCTTTAATCCCCCCACCCCACCCACACAAACACTACTTTGTGCATCAACCCTTTCCACGTCTCCACAACACCCTCATTCACATCGCCAACTCCACCAAATGCTTCTCTGCCTCAGGCATTTTCAGCAATCTCAGTAAATAGAAATGATGTCCCCTTTTTTTTCTCCCACACTTCTGCCCTCAGACCTTCATTTGCATCATTTGCAACATAATTTCCATGTCAGACAACAAATTACATCGGCAAGCAAAATATTTTAAATTAGAATCACATACATAATGGTATTAAATATGAAAATTCACATGTGTGTTTGTGTATGAGATTATGCGTGTGACTATGTCTGCATTGTTGAGTGCCTGACAGGAAATTGTTTGTATGTGTGGGTTTGTCTGTGTTGTGGGTGGTGGGTATTTTTTGTGCAATCAGGGAAGGATAAATGGCACATGGATCTTTTATATTCTGGTTTAAAGAGGGAATAGATTCTGGAATGTGCATGGGCTGCACCGGTGCCCCATTAATTTATCTGCCTTCTGGCAAAGCTCTGAAAACAACATATCCATTGTTAGCAAAATAATCAGATCCATGACATAGAGACTGAAGACCCTTTACTGCAGTTGCATCATAGTAAAAGAGAGATTTGTCTAAATTGTTGCGGCATAAGTAGAAGTTATCTATTTTTCATTCAAAACAAATAGTGAAACCTCAAATTTCAAATATAGAAAATGATTTTGATTCTTTATCTGTTACTACAATTTGCATGCGTATGTGTCCCTCTGTTTCTAACAGGTATACACACATTACAAGAATATCAGATTTGTACCCAGATTTTTTTTCCATTTTGATTCAGTCTTAATAATCCTGGCATTTCATATTGTGCCTTTTAGGTTGGGAGGAGATCTCGCAACTTCACAGGATTTACTGCAAAGTTGAGTAGGTAAGCGCACAGTGATTCGTCTGATTGCTACTTCCCAAGTAAATGAAGGAAATTCTACTTCTGTCTTCAAATGATTTGCATTTGAGGTGCCTGTTCTTGTAAGTGTGTCCCAAGAGTTGTGTGTGTGGAGTTGACGTTTTGCAGATTTCTATGCCCCAGATAATCTGCAGGCGTTTTTTTAACTGCAAAGAAAAGAGCTTTGTTAGTAAATGCAAAAAGTGATATCCTTGACTCAATAAGCGTTTTGAATCAGTCCGGGTATTGGAAAACATTTTATTTGAAAGGAAAATCATCTCCGGGAAACCATATTCGCTTTATGTACGAACAGAACAGCGATCCACCTCCCTTGCGTGTGAGAAATATGATCCACAACTACTCTGTCTGTCCTCTTTCACGAACAAAAAGCTAAAGTTTAAAAAGAAAACAGCACCTCTTTAATGTCCACCCTACCTCTGAGACAGTATTATTTCTTCATATTAATCGGTTTGGTGTCATTTGTCTGGAATTGTTAGCAACCCGCCTTGCACCTGTCTCTCTCATTGCTGGCTATTAGCTTCTGTGTGGATTTATATTGCATGTGGTACCTGAGGCTTAGGATTTCATTACATCTGAAGAAAGCTGTCAGGGAAAAGGCTTTAAGTGAACTGAATCGACAACTGTTTCAAATCACAACAAACATAGTTTGTATAATTATAATTCTGTATAATTCTGTAATAGAAGCACGCGTTATTCTCGGGATGATACATTACTGAACCATCTCATCAACCGGTTTCCCTTCCCCAGCGAGAGGATGAGAAACTGGAAGCTGCTTTCAGAGATATTTTTTTTTGGGGGTGGGGCGTTCACTCATGTCTCCAATTTTGAATTGCCCCCTTCCGCTTCTCGAGTTGATTGCCATGTGTGTCAGCTCCTGTGGTTGTGTGTGTGTGTGGGGGGGGGGGGGGGGGGAGGGGGTAACGAAGATAGTGGGTCGGAAACTCGCTTTTTTTTCATTTTTCGGTGACCCAATTCATCCCGAAATAAAGTCGAGTGTGAAAATGTGAACGTTCAAAGACCATTAGTAAAATCACCGTCCCGGGTCGCAGTTCCACTCACGTTGGGCACTGCGGATCAGATGGATCACGGTGGAAATTCACAGAACAGCTATAGGTAGCGTTCGCCCACAAATATGCGGTCCATTCACGTTACAGTCTATTCTGCGAAGCGCTTCGGGACGTCTGGAAGAAGTGAAAAGCGCTGTATCAAATGCAAGGATTATGATGATGATGATGATTAGTATAGACACAAGTGGGGGGGGGGTGTCGTTGGGGAAGTGTAAATGCTGGTCATTCAGTCCCTGGTCAGCTTTGGTGTAGGAGTTTCATGTCAATGGTCTCCACTCCCCGCGACGTGTAGCCTCCGGCACCGAATAGAAGGGGAAGGGCTTTTGATCCGAGAGGTGAAAGCCTTGAGCTCTCAGACTCCCCCCTCCCTCCCCTCCCCTCCCTCCCCCCTCCCCTCCCCCTGTGGTTTGCTGGCAGCGGGCGGGATCCTCGCTGATTGATGCCCGAATCTCCGAGGAAATAAAAGTTTAAAAGCCTCTGCGATCGCGGGGGGGACACCGCCACTCGTCTCTGCTGGAAAATCTACAGCTGAATCCCCGAAGTCTTTGGCTACAGATAGAGAGAGAGAGGGAGAGAGAGAGAGAGAGGGAGGTTTCTCTCGCCCCCTCTCCAGCATCACACGGTGCGCAGCGGTCAAGAGGTGGGAGACGGGACTTGGACGCGCGACAGATCCTCGGCACCGCTTTGCTTCACAACTCTCGGTGTAAGTATCTGAAGCTGCGGCCGTCTGTGAGGGCTGAGCTGCAGCGGAGAGACAGCGACTGCAAACGCTGCCACACCGAGAGGCACTGACCGGACCGGACCAGACCGGACCGGGCGGATCGGCTGTTAGTCAGTCAGTCAGAGAGAGACAGAGAGAGTATTGGGACCCACAGCAATAAACAGTAAAGGAGGTGCACTGAGATCCCCGTTAGAGGAGGAGGTCTGAATTAAATCAAACCCCATTGCCCTGACTGAGCCCGTGGGAGCGGTGCGGGTGCGGGTGCGGTGCGGGAGCGGCGCTCTGGGGGTTGAGATGGGACCTCTTCCCCCTCTCGGGACACACCGCTGAGGGACTCGGTTGACTGCCTTTTGCGGTGCGGGGTCGGGGTTACCGGCGGCTTCTGTGTGTGTGTCTGTGTGTGTGTGTGTGTGTGTCTGTGTGTGTGCGCCGACGCCGGTGATTTGTGTCCCATTTTCCCCGTCTCATTCCCCCCCAAAGTGGGAAGCCCCCTCCCCTGCTGCCCTGTTGCCCTGTGCTGCGAGAGGGCTGTGGCCCCGGGGCGGGTGGGGTGGGGTGGGGTGGGGGGGTGTGTGCGCCGGAGAGAGAAAAAAACAGTGAGTGAAGTGAAGTGAGTGAGTGAGTGAGTGCGGTGAAACCCCCTCTCTCTCCCCCCTCACCACCCCAACCCCACCCCTCGGGAATGGCCGGAGCACTGCCGGTGCTGCTGCTGCTGCTGCTGCCGACCCTCCGGCAGGTCTCGGTGCCCGCCGTGCAGGGCCAGGCACCCGCTGCCGGGGAGGGGGCAGCGGAGACGCCGCGCGCCGCCTCTCCCTCTCCCTCTCCCTCTCCGCCGCCCCCCGGGGACCCCGACCCGCAGCCGGTCGGCGCCGCCAACGCCTCGGCAGACGGGCGTCACCCGCCGCCGGGGAACGGCAGCGGGTCGGCGCCGAGGCCGCCCCCCCTGTGCAGGCAGCAGACCGAGATCACCGGCAGCTTCAAGTACATCAACACCGCCGTCTCCTGCCTGGTGTTCGTGGTGGGCGTCGTCGGCAACTCCGCGCTGCTGAGGATCATCTACAAAAACAAGTACATGCGGAACGGACCCAACATCCTGATCGCCAGTCTGGCGCTGGGGGACCTCCTGCACATCGCCATCGACATCCCCATCAATGTGTACAAGGTAACGGGGGGGAGGGGGGGACCTCATCACCAGCCCACCCCCTCCTCACCACCACCACCACCCCTCCTCATCACCAGCCCACCCCCTCCTCACCACCACCCCCCCCCTCTCCTCACCACCACCCTCTCCCCTCCTCTCCTCACCACCACCCCCTCCTCACCTCACCACCACCCCCCCCTCTCCTCACCACCACCCCCTCCCCTCCTCTCCTCACCTCACCACCACTCCCTCCCCTCCTCACCACCACCCCCCCCCTCTCCTCACCACCACCCCCCCCTCTCCTCACCACCACCCCCCCTCTCCTCACCACCATCGCCCCCTCTCCTCACCACCATCGCCCCCTCTCCTCACCACCATCGCCCCCCTCTCCTCACCACCACCCCCCCCCTCTCCTCACCACCACCCCCCCCTCTCCTCACCACCACCCCCTCCCCTCCTCACCACCACCCCCTCCCCTCCTCACCACCACCCCCTCCCCTCCTCACCACCACCCCCTCCCCTCCTCTCCTCACCACCACCCCCCCCTCTCCTCTCCTCACCAGCCACCCTCCCCCCCTCCTCTCCTCACGAGCGGGTTCAAGGCTGGGGCACTCACTCCCCCCCTGAGCCCCCGGGGTTCATCGTTCGATAGTTCAGCCAATATATTGGGGAACGTTATTAATGCTGTTGGCAAAAAGCGCCCCTTTTTTTTTTATATCGCGCTTCGCACGGGGTGTATATCGCGAGGGGTCCTTGGGTTTTGGGATCCTGCTTTTCGCATCGGGGGAACGGTTCACAGCGCTTCACAGAATGTACCGCGAGGTGCAGTGACCCTGTATTCTGTAGGTATTTTAATCTGTTCTCCTCTGGTGGGGCGAACCCAGGTTTCCTTGGGCCTGAGCTGCCGCCCTACAGCGTTCACCTGCTTTGGCAACTTCATCCGGTCGACTGCCTGTGGTCTCAGTAGGACTCAGTGGTTTAGTTTCTGAGCCAGAACTGTCTACTGCATTGCAAAGCACTGTCGATGCCAAACCAGGTGATGGGCAGAGAGTGAGTTGACTCCTGTTAACCCTGTAAGGAAAATAAATTGCAATGGGCAGGGTGGTCCCAGCTGGATACGCAGTGCGAAGCCTGCCAGACACTATTCTGAATGGCAAGATGTGCGGTTACGGCTGGTTAAACTCCCACATAATCCCAGTTTAGGTCCCTATGCCTTGGGGTTTGCCAACCCGCACTACAGCACCTCCTGGAATTAGGTAAACCTGGTATATCCCTCCCAGGAAAAAGTGCACACTCCATTTCAGACACGGGGACATTTTTGTGGGCAAACATTTATAATAATAATAATTAGTCCTTGCATTTGATATAGCGCTTTTTACGTCTTCTAGACGTCTCAAAGTGCTTCACAGAACACACTGTAGAGTGAATTGACTGTATATTTGTGGGAGAACGCGGCAGCCAATTGCGCACAGCAATGTCCCACAAACAGTCGTAGATTGAAAATGACCAATTTATTATTGTTTTTGGTTTTGGAGGGATTATTATTAGGCGTGTGGAGTAAGGAAACTTGCCCAAGGTTTCGCCCTGCCTGGAACTGAACAGAGGTCTCTCAGTTGCAAAGCGAGTGCTCTAACCACTGAGCTACAGGAATGGAACATTCAGTCTGGTTTGGATGGCTTTAAGCATGGTGATGGGGTTCCCCCTTGTGTCAGACACCTTCATGATGTAAATAAAATGTATCTCTTCCTTCACCCCATTAAGAATTGCTTTAATGAAAAATATGCATGGCTAAAATGACTGATTAAACTCTCACATAATCGCAATCTGGTTGGCAAACCCCAAAGTATAGGGACCCAGATTGGGATAATGTGGGAGTTTAGCCAGCTATAACCACACATCTTGCCATTCAGGATATTGTCTGGCAAACTTTCCGCTGCTTATCCAGCCTGTTAATATTATAACATTAGTTACTGAAGCATATTGGTTGGTATGTAAAATGGATATGAATTAATTTCTCCAGTTGCCATTTTAATTCCCAAAGTCTAATCTCTATGGGAGGTTCTTAACTCCTAAATTCAGACTAAAACCCTCTATGAAATTGATTTCGCCCTTGTCATAACAGGCAGGATTCCCTCTTTCACTGCTTGTTTCCCTGCAGATGATGATAGTGTTTTCCTTGCGTGAAACACATGAAATTAACAAGTATGTAAGCAAAAGAGAGATAAGACACATTCCTAGCGGAAGCGCTGGTATTTTAAATGCAGCAATTAAAATTCCACAGATTTCAAGGTGACAGTTTTATGGGTAGCAATGAACTTTTACCTAGTTAGTTTGAGTTTTCTTCATGGCATTCTATGGACTAAAACTATTGTCTGAAAGCTTCATTCAGAAATGAATTGGCAATGTTCTTGAACGATCTAATGATTCCACTCAGAAGAGATTCAGCAAAACAGATTTCAGGTGAAGATGGAAACGAAAGAGTCTTCTACAATATTTCACTTTCACATTTAATTTGACATAATATAATTTAACTGAAGTAAAATACAAATACTGTATTTCAAGGCTTTATTACAATGCGAACATGACATTTTTCTAAAGCAATCAGAATTCATTTTAAAAAATGCACAGTCAGTTTAGCACACCGATTACATCGGAAACTTTACAATTCTGTATTGTCTGAACTGAAGGTTTTGCGCTTACTCAGCACTAAATCACAGGAGAATGCTAAAGGTTTGAAGGGTAGAGTACTTTAGCTGGACCAAGTTTCCCCACTTCCACCCAAAGCAACAGTCCATCTCAGTATTATTGGCATGCATTCATTACTGATCTGAGTTTGATTCCGTCACGGTAGCAGATGGTAATTACAAGACATGGGTGTGGGTGGCCTGTCATATACATCGGCTGCTCTGACTTTTTCCACTATGTGGAGTGCCACTCTACACAGCCAAATGCACGAGGTTTGACGCAATTTGCATTTGGCTGCAGATGTGCAGTGGTTTTCTGAGGTGTGTTTTTTTGGGGTGGGGAAGTGAATGGCACATTTTAATAAGTATCACTGAGTCACACAAATATATGTGTTCATCAGATCTCTCAAATGGTCAGATTTGTAGGTTTAGATTTATAACAGGAATATTACAAAGTAACAAGCCAAACCAGCAGCTCAGACAATATCCTCAGCCCATAAATAATGTTTGAGTCATTTTCTTTTCACATTCTGACTACTGATTTTTAAAAAAATCTTAAATTAATTGAAGGATATTGAACATTACTTTACAAATAATGTATTACACTTTATTGTAAAATATTTTCATATCTTTGCAGTATATCTTTGCATTACCATTAAGTGAGTATGTACTGAAAATTATTTATAGGTTTGATGGTTGCAATGGTCTTAATGGATGACATAATGTAAACCTTCAGAGTATTATTTGTGTAATGTAGAACTGTGCTATGGGAACCTTAATTAATCTCCTCAAATGAGCAACCTGATCTAATCCTACTCTCCCATTTCCTCCCCCAAATCCTTTAATATTCGTCCTTTCACATCATATTCAAATGATCTAATTCCCTTTTAACATAACTTGTGGACTCTGCTTCAACAATACTTGTGGCAGAGAATTACAAATTTGACCATCCAGAGGTATGTATATTTCTAACTTTTTTTGTCATCCCAAATTCAACGTAAGTTTGTGTCCTCATTGATTTGCTGGCCAGTGGAAAAAATCTTATTGTTAGTTATTCTATCTACCTCCCTCATAATCTGGAAGACCTCTACCAGGTGACCTCTTAACCTTTACAATTCTAGAATAAAATAAGTTAATTTCTCATCTCTCTTGATAATACTTTAATATCACTTGGGTAATTTCGATAATAACATTGTAGTTTGCTATTCTATTTGTATGTACCAGTACATATTATGGTACAGTAGAGTAAGTACCATCTTCCTGTAAAATCAACAATTTTCTAAAGTCTAAAGCAGTCAAATGAAGTTAAAGATGGTAAAATAGTGATGCTATGTCACTGATTTCTTCAACTTGATTTTTGAATATGATGTGAACGATTATTATTAAATACACTAATGTCACAAAATAACAAAGTTAATAACACTACACTATCCATTGTTATTACAATAAAAATACTGGATAAGATCGATTCCGCTTGTAACTTATCCATCAAGTAGATGGTTGAAGAAATGTCTTGGATCTAACATTGTCCAACCTTTATTACGAGGCTTTCTGTAAAAGCTGCCATTAATAGGCTGCCAATATTTCCATATTATGTCTTAAGCGGCACTCTAAAGCATTCACTAAAACATGTATCTCATTATAGCATGCCAAAGTGCTTAGCTCCCGTAGTCTTTTAATGAGAGGTCAACACATCTGGAATATCTCCATCTGTCTCATTATTTACTTAATCACCTACTTGGGTAGCCGCCAATATGCACTTTGTGTGAATCATTCGCTTGATGACAGACTACGGGAACTTTGATTAATCTCCTCTATAAAACAGCGAAAAACAAGGAAACAACTGGATAACACTGAGGTTGCATAATTGTCGGAATGTGTGCCATCTACTCCAACCAATGCTGAATCTATAGATTAAATCATAAGGTACATATAATTAGACAAATTTTTGTTGTGAGTTAAAGGCTTAAATCTAAGACAAAATCGTGAGAAATGTGTTTGGAAGTGTGAGTTTGGAGAATGAAAGACTCAAAGACAACAACAAAGAGCAAGGCTGATCTTTGAGACAAAATAATAATAATAATAATAATAATAATAATAATCCTTGCATTTGATATAGCGCTTTTCACGTCGGGAGGACGTCCCAAAGCGCTTCACAGAATATACTGTAAAGTGAGTTGACTGTATATTTTGTGGGCGAACGCGGCAGCCAATTGCGCACAGCAATGTCCCACAAACAGTCATAGATTGAAAATGACCAATTTAATTATTGTTTTTTTTTTTTTGGAGGGACTATTATTAGGCGTGTGGAGTAAGGAAACTTGCCCAAGGTTTCGCCCTGCCTGGAATTGAACTCAGGTCTCTTGCTTGCAAAGCGAGTGCTCTAACCACTGAGCTACAGGACTCCACTTGGAGGGATTATTATTAGGCGTGTGGAGTAAGGAAACTTGCCCAAGGTTTCGCCCTGCCTGGAATTGAACTCAGGTCTCTTGCTTGCAAAGCGAGTGCTCTAACCACTGAGCTACAGGACTCCACAAAATGATTTTGACAGAATGAATGTTTTGTTTTCTTCATTCCACCTGTATTTATGCTCTGAATCAACAAGGAGACATTGCACATGAACAGAATGTGTTTGTAGGATACCAAAAGCATAAAACAATTCTGATTCTAACTACCCAATAATATCTTATTATGTTAAGAGGATCTTTCTTCATAATTCATTTCTTTTATGTTTTATTTGTGTACCTGGACTTTATCTCAGATTTGCTTTTCAGCTTAGTTGCTTGTACCGTTTTCTGTTGTTGGCAGCTGTAATAGGCCCACCAGCAATGAAAACACAAAATGGAAAAACATTATCAAAAGTAATATTAATTATCCATGTTTTGCACAGAATAATACACATGAGTGCATGTTGCAGGACAGGAACATATCTTGGGGTTCAAAAACATAGTAAACAGTTAAGGAATGAAAATAGGAAACTTACAGAAGGACCACAGCTTGTTTTGTGAGAGAAATGTTATGCTGGTACATTAGGGAGCATTTTTCTTAGTTTGGTATAGAGGCACATTGTTAGAGTCAAGCAGTATTCTAAAAGTTGTACGAGAACATTATCTGGCACAATGTTTATTCAAGGTAATTTGAATTTTTTTGCTGTCATCAGTATTGTTTTCATATTACTCAGAGCCTATAGCATAGATTATTACAAATTGCAGATAGCAGAGGAAGACTTTTCTGTAAAACTAGCTGCTGCATTTCGCCCACAAAATACACAATCAATACACTTGGTTGTCCAATTCCTGAGTAAGTTATATCATAAAGTATAACTTTACGGCATAACTTGTGAAGTGCTTTGAGAAGTTTTGACAAGATAAGACGCTATATCAAATGCAAAGATTATTATTATTATTTTGCCTCTCTGATTCTTTGTCATCTTTTTAGGTAAGTGAGGCTGCCTCTGCTGAATGCAGTGCAGTAAGAAAAAACAAAGTCAAACTATTTACTGCATAAAAAATCAAAGAATAACACAAAAGTGGAAGTGAATTAAAATAGGCATTTAGTTTCTGAGATTGATAAACTGTGCAGGCTTTAGTTTGGTGCCTTATTGCATTACTTGTAAAATTTGGTTGAAGTCTTACACTCTTTCAGCTCTCCTTCGGTGCTGTCTGTTTGCCAATATTGATTTTATATGATGAAGCAATACTCTTTTCCGAGCTGTGTAATTTATTTTAGCAATTGCAACATTTGAACTGATGTTCGTGAAGTCTGGGATCATGTTACGCAGGGGAGAAAGGCAAGAAATATAATAATAATAATAACGCTTGCATTTGATATAGTGACTTTCACCCTTAGTTGTACATCTCAAAGTGCTTCACTTGATATACTGTAAAGTTGAGTGACTATGTGTTTAAATCCCTCTATGTTCTTGCCCTATAGTCTCTGTGACCTTCTCAAGCCTGCGTCCGCTACCTCTGCTTGGTGAGCACTGGCCCGCTTAACACTACTATTGGTGGTCAGGCTTTCAGTCTATCTGTCCCCAATCTCTATATACCCCATCCCAGACACCCTACAACTCACCATTCCTTTGCCTCCTTCAAGGTACATCACAAAACCTTCCTCTTTGACCACGTCTGCCACTCACGTTCATGGCCACCCACTCGACCTAGTGATTACCCGGGGCCTCAGTGTCTCACAATAACAGACAAAGCCATCTCCAATCGCCATTTCATCTCCTTTAACTCCTCAACCTCTCTCCCCATCACCACCCAACCCACCTCTATCTCCTATCGGCCCCAGAAAAAAATCTTCTGTAATCCCTCTCAGCTGCCCTGGAGTCATCTGAACTCCACCCCTCTGGCCTACCTCCCGCACTGATTTATCCTCTTCGCTCACTCTCCTCCACAACTCCCTCTCCACCACTCTTGCTGCCTTTCCCCCCCTCACCCCTGAACCACTTCCTACTCATGAACCTCATCCTGGTACAGCAGCCACCTCCGTTCCCTCAAGGGTCAGATGCGTGCTGCCAAACACACCTGGCTCAAATCTGATCTAACGGTCCACCGGGAGATCTGTCTGGACCACAATGTACTGCTCTGCCCTCGCCTCTGCCAAATTGTCCTTCTACTCCAAGATCCAACCCTAGGCTCCTATTTTCTACCACGAACCAGCTCCTCCGTCCACCTTCCCACACCTCGCCCATTTTCTCCTCAAACTCTTGTTCAACTCTCAGCTGTCCTTTCCCCCTGATATCTGTGGCATGATCTGTTCTGCCTTCCCCCACCCCACAACATTGCCTGACTCCACTGCTGCCTCATCCCTCAGGCTGCCGAAACCCTCATATATGCATTTGTCACCTCAAGGTTCAACTATGGAATCTCCCTTCTTGTCGGCCCCCTCAACTCTTCCCTCCACAAGCTACAGGTCATCCAGAAATCTGCAGCTTGTGTCCTCTCCCACACCAGGCTCTGTGACCCCCTCGCACGGCTCCACTGGCTCCCCATCCCTCAGAGAATAGAATTCAAAATCCTCATCCTCACTTTCAAGGTCCTCCACTGCCTTGCCCCCTCCTACCTCTCTAACCTGCTGACCCCCTATCAATCTGTCCACTCCCGCCGTTCAGCAGGCTCCTGTTCTATGTCTCCTGCCGGACCTGCCCTCTCTGCCTCTCTGCCCCCACCCTTTGGGACTCCATCCCACAGTTCCTTTGCCTTGCTGCCTCCTTCAAGGCACAACTCAAGACTCTCCTTTTCGACCGTGCCTTCAGGCGCTCCTACCTCTCTGCCCCCTGTTATCCCAACCCTGTCCCCCCACGTTCGAGTCCTGATCCCTGACTGTTCAGCGCCTTGGGACATCCTCCCGATGTGAAAGGTGCTTTATACATGTAATTTTGTTGTTGTTGTTCTCTTCTATCATCTTCACCCCCCCATCCCTCTCATATAGCGTCTCCCCTTGGCTCCCCCCCCAACTCAGGTATAAACTCTGTTCATCCTCCTGATGTGAAAGGCACTATATAAGTGCAAATTTGTTGTTGTATGGGCAAACAGAAATAACTGAGAAAGAGATACAGGATCAAACTGTTGAAAAATTGTTCAAACTTCAAAAATAAAGTTCAAGTGAGGGGCAGAGAAACATGGAGGTTCAATGGACTACTCCTGGCTGAAATTCTTACCAAATTACTTTCAAGGCATTGTATTCTGTTAATCAGTAACATTAAAAGGACATTAAATCAGCAAATCAATTAATCAGTAACATTAAACAATTTTTCATGAACTAAATTATGAAACAGGCTCAGTGGGCTCCTTCTGTGCTTATTTTCCTTTGTTTTCTATGTTATTAATAGCGCGCTTTTGGTGTTTTACTAGTGTCCCATTATTAAAACTGTTGACTTGACAAAAATGTACTTACATGATTCCTTCTCTTTCCAGCTCCTTGCTGAAGACTGGCCTTTTGGGGTGGAAGTATGTAAACTTGTACCTTTTATACAAAAAGCATCAGTTGGCATCACTGTGCTCAGTCTTTGTGCACTCAGTATAGACAGGTAATTTATCAAACCATTCAAATTAATTTTTGTCTCAAATTTTTTTTATATTTCTCACAATATTTGTATTTTACCCCAATCCCAGGTATCGAGCAGTGGCATCCTGGAGTCGTATCCAAGGGATCCGAGTTCCCTTGTGCACAGTGGTTGAAATCATACTTATCTGGGTCGGGTCCATTGTTCTGGCAATTCCCGAAACTATAGCATTCGACGTGGTACCAATGGAATATCGGGACAGGCTCTATAGTGTCTGCCTCCTGCACCCGATCCAGAAAACTCGATTTATGGAGGTATGAAGTTTCAAAATTATCAGTTAATTAATGCAATACAGTGAAGTTATAATAATCCTTGCATTTGAAATCATGTCTTATCGCATCTACAAAATGTCTCAAAGTGCTTCACAAGATTTATTTTATAGTTTAATAACTGTGTACCTACAAACAAATAAGTTAACTAATGCCATTGTGTAAATGTTTAAACAGGCTGAGCAGAATGCAAACAGTATAATGTTCGGATTGATAGTGAATTGGGTTTCAAGTGCATCATGTGAATTTCATTACAAATAGATTATTTGAAATTATTTATACTAGAGAGAAATTGTTGAATTTTGGAATGCATTCACTATGATGATTAATATTAATTTATTACATCAAATGCTTTACGTGACACTGGAAAGTTCATTCCATAACATAAAAAGCTGGAATTGTTAGTACAGTACTTTATAAAGTTGTTAAAAATAAATGAACCTCTGTATTTGTGTGATGAATTTCCATTCATTCTTCAACCTGAGCAGCACAAAATCTATACTTCAAGAAGAAAAAAATAGTTGTGTAACATATTTAAAATACTGCTATAAACCTTTTGTGGCTTAAACTAAAACTGAGGTATTCGACACAATCAAAGTTTAAGAGTTTTTAAGTTTGATAGACATGAGCAAATAATTGAAAAGTCATCAAACGTGATACTCTGTGTTAAGTTACATTTAGCTCACTTTGATGATCTATACTCGTGAAGGGCTTCCAAATGTAAGAGTACAAATACCATCATCGTGCCACATATCTAACTTATAGTTCTTCATTTTTGCTTCTAGATTTACAAGTCGGCGAAGGACTGGTGGCTGTTTAGCTTTTATTTCTGCATGCCTCTGGCATGTACGGCTGTGTTTTACTCTTTAATGACATGTGAGATGCTAAGAAAGAAAAGTGGGATGCAAATTGCTTTGAATGACCACTTGAAGCAGGTGAGCAATGAGACCCTGAAATGTAACAAATGTGTTTTGTTTGGATCTGAGGGAGATCCCTTGTTGTTGTCTAAAAGATTGATTGGGAATCTATAAACATGTAGGTACTAGAACACAACACTCCTATTGCTGCACTAGACCGTTAGGCTAGATTATGAGTTCAAATTCAGATATAGGGCACTGATTTCTGACTCAGAACATTCAATTATAACATCTTATTTTATATTGAAATTCATTTTCAATCAATAATCATATCATACACAGAGTAGTAATATAAAACAGTACACTACCCAGGTACACATCTATTTATTGTTAAATACAGATAAATACCTAATTAATTTCATGTGAGCTGAAACCTCATTCTAGGCGACTTCAACCTCACTTCAGTCCCTCTTGCTCTATCTTCGCTGACTTCTCCTGTCTCCTCTCCTTTCACAACCTCTCCCTCCACATCCACTCTGCCACCAATGTGGCAGTACAATACTATACAAATATTGTATTGTAGCCTAAGCTGTGACTTTAACATATCTGTCCTTCTACCATCTAATCATTCAGCCAGCAATTTCCTTTAAACAAATACATTCGGAAGCACTTAAGAAAAACATATTTTAGCAACATTGAGACTATTAAAATAGATTAAAATTGGTGATATTTGGTTACATTGTAAGTTTGATATATTTACTCAAAAAATGATTATTGCAGATAATATAGCAGCTGTAACATTCAGAACGTTTCACATGCTTCACAACGTGCAGTGACTGTAAGCTTTGCATTAAAAACAGAATCATTGAGAAACATTAAATAGTTGGATACCTTAAAAAGAAGTAATTTGTAGGGGTATTAGAAAAAAGAATTAAATGGGACTGAATGGTTTGCTCTTTCAAAGAACCAGAGCAAACATGGCAAATTTCCGTGCTGTAAATTACTATGGATTAAAAATTATATACTGCTGAAGTGAGTGTTTCAATTCCTGAGAATTCAGAGCCCATTGTGTAATTCATTATAATCTTATCAGTTCTCCTCAAAGTCTTGTGTGCTAAAATTGTTCTGACTTAAACCTACAGAGAATTTTACAAAGACAGTCTGAAAACATTCCCAAAAGTGTTCATTAAATATTGTATTTTCATGGACAGGATACACTACAAGTTGCTGAGGCTATTGAACTCTTCCTGTGACATCTATTTGCTTGTAGTAAATGTTACATCAAGGGGCTACTACATCATTGAAAGAAATGGAAATTGATTAAACTACTTCCTCCAAGAGTTAATTCTGTGTCAGTATTCTCATAAAATGGGGATTACCTGAAGTAGAACTCATTTACAATACAAATAATAAATTTATTATTTTTCTTTCATATCGGGGGGATGTCTCAAGGCACTTGATGAGCTAGAATTCTTACAATTTTTGTTGCAGCGTCGAGAAGTAGCAAAGACTGTCTTCTGCTTGGTGCTGGTGTTTGCTCTCTGTTGGATGCCCCTTCATCTCAGCAGAATTCTAAAGAAAATGCTGTACAATGAATATGACCCCAACAGATGTGAGCTTTTGAGGTGAGCATATTTTAGTTCAACAAACATTCAAGTGTGAACCAGCAGATTATCATAAAATGGAAATAATATCTAGGGAACTAGCTAAATTTTGACCGTGTCTACAGTTCCCCTCCCATCGGCTCGGCATCGTGCTCCGCCACTGTCAAGCACTCTGGGACGCTGCCCTGTGTGAGGGTCACTATATAAATGCCAGTTGTTGTTGTAAAAGTTCATAAAAGGGAATGTAGATTTAACACATTTAAAATACTACCATAGTACCTTTTACCTTCATTACCTGTGCGTATGTCTGATTAAAATGTAGTTATAAATATTTGTGAAAAAATTATGCATATCCTGAAAATTATATCTCTCTGGAATTTTCTAGGAAAGGTTCTTAATAGTTGTTATAGGACATTTCACTTTCTTTGCAAGCATATTCATGCCAGCTATATCACCAGACTTGTAATTTTGACATGATTGAGGAAATGCATGGATTGGTCATAATGAACAACAACAACAAATTACATTTGTATAGCACCTTTCACATCGGTAGACAGTTGAAGATCCACACTCAAGCTGGCGGTTGGGATCAGGAGGGTACAGAGGATGGGGTGGGTATGGGTAGGAAGGTGGCTGAAGGCACGGTCAAAGAGGAGGATCTTGAGATGGCCTCTGAAAAAGGCAAGGGAAGGGGTGAGGCGAAGGGACTGTGGGATGGAGTTCCAATGGGTGGGGGCATAGAGTCTGAAGGCCCGACCACTGATGGTCTTACTGTACGGAACTAGGACGAGATAGGTTGGTATGGAAACTGCCTCAGTAATGGAAATAATAAAAGTCACTGGGATGTTTTGCTATAAGCAAACTCGATTATGTTATATTTTTACATATCTGTAGTTGCACTGAGTAGCAAAAGTCTTTTTAGTTAAGATTTGGGTGAATTTGAACATAAAAAACTTTATAAGATAACAAATTAAATATCAGTCAGTTTACAATACTACACAAAACATATTCTATATTTGTTGCTATAGAAATACATATACTATTTAGTATTGTAAACTGACTGATGTGTAATTTGTTATCTTAAATCTTTAATTCTTTGTCTTGGAAAGGAAATGTCAGCATTGCAGTGTTTACAAAACACTATCAATGAGGCCGCATGACATTCTACCATTTTAAGAGTACCACAGAATAGTCTAAAACTATTTGTTGATAGAAAGAATAGATAGCGCTTAAAATGCAACAACAAAATAATCACATTATACAATTACATGATGATTAACAATTCACATGCAAGAATGTGTTTTGACTATTGCTTTTTAGACCCATAGATACATCAACGCATCAACCTAAGTATAGAGATATATTTGTACACTCATACGCTTAGTTGTTCTCTCTCTCCCTCTCTTTTATACATTACTGACCAGTTTGTCTGAAAATGCAAAGTGAAAAATGACTGAAAATGACAATTTGTAGATAACTTTTTAAAAAATGTAACAAAAAGTGACGAAATAACATTTCTGTTTTAATCCAGTTTTCTTTTAGTATTGGATTACATTGGTATCAACATGGCATCACTCAACTCCTGCATAAACCCAATTGCACTCTACTTTGTCAGCAAGAGATTCAAGAACTGTTTTCAGGTAGCAGCATAATTCTGTTGGAGATCCTCAAAATAAGGGCACTTATTATTCAGTTCAGAAATATTAATAATAATAATTCTTGCATTTGATATAGCCCCTCATCACATCTTTGAGAAGTCACAAAGCGGTTCACAGAATATATTGTAAAGTAAATTGACTATATTTTGTGGATGAAATACAAAATATATATAAAAATATTTTGTATTGCCACAGATATTTCTTCACAGATATATTGCCACAGACATTTCTTTACAGATATATTGCCGACAAGTAGACAAAAATTTGGTTCCTAGTATATTTTAACAATAATTTAATTTGGTAGTCAACTTCAGTATTTTCACCACATGCTATAAATGTCAGCAGTGTATTTTACTTTGATGTCTACCATAGTCAGTGTAGGGTTTTGTAGCAAGGGTATTTAGTTCTCAAGCCATTCCAATTGTTCAGCCTGAGGTAAGGTATTTAAAAAGAGACAAAGTACGGTAAACTAGATATTATTTATTGCTAACCAAAGCAACAGTTACAACTCATAAAGATTTCACGCTTAAAATGGCAGAAGATGATTCAGGGCTTGGTTCAAGATCCTTACCCTGGGAGACCTGGAATGATTACGTGTCGATGTTGCTTGTAGTTCTTAGTTTTAGCAGGTAGTTAATCTGCCACAGCCATGGATCTCTCCCCAGCTGCTGTTTGCTCAGCAACAACAACAACAACTTGCATTTATATAGTGCCCTCCATGCAAATTGGAATCAAAGAAATTACATTATGAAAGAAGGCCACATATTTGGTGCTAGGTCCTCCAATGGAGCTAAATTTTATCATTTCAATTCCCTTCCAATATAGTCTCTCATTTTAGAGCACTGGAATTCTGGCTTGCTTAATAAGATGCTAATATACTTCTCACTCAGTCGAATGCCATGCAAATGCAAGTGAGAGATCCAATGCTGTTTCATGACTTGCACCATTAAAATAAGTAGGGGAGGGGACTTATCTCGCACATCTGCATACGTTACATCCATTAATTGCCGGGCAGCACCTCTTCAGAAATCTCTTATGATATTAACCCAAAGACAACTCTTAAGAATTGTTTTGCAAAACTATAAATGCAGTCTTAATTTTGGAGCCAATTTTCCGATTCTTAAAAGAATATGTAGAAAGTAAGTCTCAACATTAAGACTGGATTTAACACTAAAATTCCAAAATTTGTCACCTTGAAGCATTTTTAAATAATGGTCTTAAGTGTAATGCCATGAAAATTATTGGGTCTCAGAATAAGTAAAGGATATTGGAGATACAATCACTCCAGCTCTCAGATGCTTATTGGCATCTGAATCAAGAATGGAAATGACCCAGCAACCATCTCACAAGAGGATGGTAATTGTACGGCTGCTAAGGTTTTTGGGGGGTCTTTCAGATTCATAAAGAATATTGGTCCATCAATAAGTTGTTCTTTAAGTCTTCTCCCTTATTCATTTTGTTTGGAATTGTGAAATTGTCTTTCTCTTGTACACAGTCCTGCCTTTGCTGTTGGTGCCAAAGGAAGACTATGATGCATATCATGCCCCTGGATGAGAAGCAGTCCTGCATCAAGTGGAAGGCAAATGGCATTGATCATGGTCTGGACCATAGTAATTCACGGTCCAGTAACAAATACAGTTCATCATAAAGCAGAAGCTCCAGGAATCCACCAGTGAGGAATGCTGACACCACTCACACTGTACAAAAACTGTTAACCTGATCATAAAGAAACACAAAATTCCAAATATTACCCAGTCATATAAGAGTCAAATTGCTGCAGTACGTTATAGCTGCATGCATTGTTGCATCAAAAATGTTTTCTGGAATAGGGCATCTATCTCTTAAAGAATGAGAAAAAGTAAATAAAGATAGACTGACCAATAAAAACCATTGTTAAGGCACTTGAACTCTTCTGACCCTTCACTTCCAGGTCACCAGAACATTTTGGAATCTTAAACTAATTTGCTTCAAAATATGTTAAAAGAAATATGAAAGAGACTGAGACAGAGGACTGCCAAACCAGCAATTTCTGACTGTACATCCTGTACACGTACACCAAATGAGGACTGCTTTGTCTAGAAAGTAGATTTCTCAACTTGATAGGAACTATGCATTATTCATTAAATGGATATTGGGCCGGACCATGCCCCTTTCAAGATATTTACATTGTTCTCATATACCTCGCATGCATAGTAATGAGTAAAACACTTTGGAGTGAATTCTCCCACCATTGGGAAATGTATCAGACTTGATCTGTACTTATAAACTCATGCCACTAAGGTCCAGATGTTTGGAGATTAAGATGGTCCTGCACAACAAAGTCTATAAATTTACCTACCAAGGAAGAATCACCCTATGGAATAATTTTTCATTGGCACTTAGTAAGAATTATCATGAGATGTGAGCATTTATAGCCATCGTGGCCATTCTTTCCATTCCAAACCCCTCACTAGAAGAAGCTTGTGAGACTTTCTTTCATTAAATAGATTATATATTGATGCTGCATTTATACTTCTAGGCAAAGTCACTTTGCTCTTGGCAGTCCAGTGCTGTGAAGCAGGAACACACATAACTGCAAACCAAGGCCAAAAAAACAAACAAATGATTTTGGCAATACACATATTTTGAGTCCTTGTTTTTTACTGCCATCAATAAGCCTTATTAAAGAGCTGATCGAATGACTGCTCTTCAGTAACATTACAAAACAGTCTCCTCAATGTCCCTGGGTATTGTACAAATGAGAGTGTACACAATGACATGTTTATGTTCAATTGGTGTGAATTGTAGTTCCTGAAACCATCCCATCAGATGGTGTCACGAACAAGTCATCAGCACAATTCATGGTACCTAAGCCCCGTTTATACTGCATGTTTGGTATCTGCAGTGAGTTACAGATAAACATGTAGTATAATTGCAGCATACATGACCATTTTTCTATCTTTCATTTATATTGTTTTACAGTATTATTTTGTTAAAAGAAGTATTAAAATGTCTATTTTACAATAAATTCATTTTAAAATATTTAAACTAGCACTGCCGTACTGTTCAATTCACAGTGTTATTGTATTGATGAAAAGTAAGTCCTTTATGAATTCCTTGTATATACTGTTTATATTGAATCTACACTTTTAAATAATCAAACTCCCTTCAGTATATTCTCTGAAGTAAATTGGCTTGGACACAGTTTGTGTGTTCTGGTGAACATTGTTGTTATAACAAAATGTATTAAGCTACCATGTCCCAAAAATGTATTTGAAACAAAAGCACCGTGTCCAAGAATATGATAGTTATGGACCTTTTGATTTTCCACAAACAATATCAACAATGCTTCTGTTTGTTTTTATTCTTCTCTGTATATTTCTCATTATAATTTCATTTATTTTATTGTAAAACATTATTTACCTAATGTTCTTCCATCATCAAATGTGAATGTTTCATACAAAATAAACAGTTTAGGAATTATTTTGCTTTAAACCTTTATTTCCTCACCAAAAACACCAATTATTTTGCTTACAAACTGTATAATCACTATTCTTTATCCAGGGCTTTGAGACATCCTTCTGATGTGAAAGGCGTTTCATCAAAGTGTTTCATTGCATTTCAATATGCAATTCATGACTAACTACTGGTTATTTTAATTGTTCTTCATAGTTCTCTTTACAAATACTATTTCATGCATTGTCTTTCTATTGTGGATGAACACAATACTCTCACATGTATTTTATGCACATAGCCACATCCTTTAATTGCAACATAATTTAGATATGGGGATTCATATAGGAATAGGGCCATGTAAGGTGAAATGGTCAGAGCCTTTCTAAGCAGGAAGCAGAAAACGTAATTGAGCAAACAAACCACTATCAAGTTAAGATCCACAGAAAAGGAAAGGCGGAACATGTCAAAGCTCAAAATGATTAAATAATATGAAGAACATCTGTAAAAAGTGAAATCCAGCAATGATCAGAGATATATTAATACTTGCATTTAGCATAGTGCTTTTTGTGTTGGGAAGATGTCTCAAAGCGCTTCACAGGGTTTTCCTGTGATTTTCAGCACCTTGGGACGTCCTCCCGCCATGAAAGGTGCTATTTAGATCCAAGTATTATTATTATTATTTGTTGTTTGTTGGCTCCTGTGAAGTGCAGTGACTATATTTATACAAAAGTATGGATTACAGACTGTATTTACAGGCACAACATTCCCATTGTGTAATTGTCCACAGCAGACATGAAATGAATGACCAATTTTATCTGAAATTACTTTTATACTGTTATAATCCTGTTATTACTCAGGAAACTGGATAATGGCAAATGATGTGTTAGCCATGGGCACAATTGTTCTAAGGGGTATTCACTGTTCATTCAAATGAAGTATACCACGTTCAATGTATTATTCAAAGAGTTAGTGATGTAGTTGAGCTCAAAGGGAAATCGGACATTCAAATCATGGTCCAATTGCAATGCAGTTAAAATGAGAGGTTTTAATCCCTGAAAATTGCAGTTAATAAATGGGATATTTTATACAATTTTTAAAGCACCGTGCACTTATTTATGAATTAATAAATGATTTTGTATTTTGAAATAAACGCTATTAACACATTTGTGGAATAAATGGTATTTAAAATAATCAACCTCCAACTTTGAAATTACAAATTAAACATTTTTAAATATTGTGATAGTCAAATAAGCAAAAGACAAAAAAATAGTAACAACTAACAGTGGATATGAACTCTGCAGTGTTCCTGAGGATTTGAGAATCACAGTGTGTCAGCGAACATCAGAGATGTACACAATATGTTCATCAAGTGTTTCTGTTTGATTTACATGCTCTGATAATGTGTGAATCGCAGCATTTTTAGTACTGAAATTAGTTCCTTAGACTATAAGAAAATGATTCAATTTGCTGTGCATATGATTATTATATAGTTACACTTATTAAGTTCCCATTAACACAGATTTAGATGAATTATTCCCATAATTGGGGTGTTTTCTGCCTCTTCTCCTTTTCTGTTCCTTCATTGATGGACTGTCATTCAGAAGTTGAAGTGATGAAAGTCATTGCATAAATAGGACAATCACATCATATGCTTCACATTTGACATTCAGAAGTTTTTTTCCCCCGAATGACTAATAGTAAATGATAACGGGCCCCGGAAGATAGACCTGAACATTAGATAATGTTGTTTCTTTCTTCTATTATTCATGGTGGGGTAGGTAAGCATGCCTATCATCCTTGGGGGGAAGAAAACAGGGTCTTCTTGGAGCTTATCTGGCTCCAATATGTTTGGCAAAGAATGTCAGAATCAAGCCAAGCCTCTATGGTGGTCTTGGTAATCCAGCTCCTGAGCCAGACAGTTTTGTAGTACTCCAAGACACTGCTGATGATAGCCCAGCCTGCTTGACTCATCAGCAGGACTTGGAAGGGCAGACCAGTCACTGAGGCAGGGATTCTTCCCATTTAGTTTTTGTTAACTATGCAAGCTAAAGCCCAAACAGGTAGGGAGGTCCTAGCTGGACAAGCAGTGGGGAAGCTAGCAAGGCAGTGCTTTCAACAGCAAGCTATGCAGTTTTAGCTTGTTGGACTCCAGCAGTACCCTGACACAAACCCTGGGGTCTCCAAGCCTTGGCTCTTGCTAGTCTGCACCTAATATTCTACAGAATTAGGTAAGCAGGATGTGCACCTCCAGGCAAAGAGTAGCCTGTATTTATTGGAATTCTGTTTCAATAAATATCTCAGGAATTTCCACCCCAAAGGTCCGTTGACACTCAGTCCTTGAACATATTCAAGACTGAGATAGATAGATTTCTTATTGCGAAAGGGATTAAGGGATATGGCAGAGTTAGGTTATTAGCTGGAGTTAGATTAGAAGATCAGCCACGATTGAATGGCGGGGCAGGCTCGAAGGGCCGAATGGCCTACTCCTGCTCCTACATGTTATGTTATGTTTAACTGGGATGCATGGAGCTCAGTTTGTTTCTTATACTCCTAAGCATGGTGATGGTATATGTCAGACACCCGTTGACCAAAAAAAAGTAAGCAGACACTCCTTGGAGCTGAGCTGACTCCAGGGTGACAAACTTGGCAATAGAATGTTGGAACCAAGTCAATTCTCTGTGGCAGTCTTAGTCCCCTCAAAAAACAAAAAAAAGCTTACTTTTTTCCAAATGTTGCTCTTGTTATTTATTTATTTATTTGTAGCAATGGTTCTCATGTATTCATGAATCATAATAATGTTATCTTGCCAGTTATGCAATGTATTTTTTTGTTCATTGAGTCTATTTGAACCTGCTGGAAGGAAAAATAGTGTTGCTTCTCAAGGTAACTATTGAATTAATTCAGTATCCTATTTTTAGCTATATTCAGTGCTGATCTTTGTGACTTGTAAAGAAGCTGAAATTTCTTTTAGTGAAACCATTATGCCTTGGCTGAGAGATGGAATATTTCCTACAGTCATAGAACCATCTATCTTCCCCTTGAAGATTTAACATCTTATAGTGACACATTTCCATTTGCTGCAACAAACCCATGGCTGTCACATCCCGTCCATGTATTTGCTGATTGTTCAATGAGTGTCATTGAGGATACTGCCAGCTCATTGTCACTTCAGATGGATGCACAATGTAAAAACTGTGTCTAATAACCCTCCTCAAGGTCCCCAGAAATCCAGAGAGTGCCAGTGAGGCATGATTTGCCTTAAGTAATTTGTCCGTGTTTTCCCCATGTCCATTCCTCTCTTTTCGATTTATGGCCTCATAGGATCATCCTCTGGAATCCTATCATTAACAGCATGTCAACAGGAGCAATTGCAGCTTTAATATTATTGAAAGCAATTAAGACAGAAGTCTCATGATGGAACAAAGTGGGAGAGCGAACAGACTTGGGGGAATCCCCAAGGCAGTGGAATGTTTTCAGACTCAGACATAATGGGATGTTCAAACAAATTACAAGGGTAATGGAACATTGCCGTATTAAATCATGAAAAACTATATTCAAAGTGTGGAAAATTTATGAATATTTTAGTGGAACTGAAATTATTCCCAAAGCATCACTTGGCAGATCTCGATCCATATTATAGACTGCTGGAGGAAAGAGAAATTTGTATTTATTTTGATTTTTCACTTTTCTGAACTCATATTTCTGCAGGGAAGTCATTTTGTTGCCTTTATATCAAGGAGTATGTAAGAACCTGGGCCCCCAAATTCTAAATATTTTAGGCTTAAGATCATAATCTTGTATAACGCCCTTCACGATGGAAAGACATCCCTGCGGTGGAGAGCAGGGAGGGTGGGGGTGGAAGGGTGACCGAAGGCACTGTCGAAGAGGAAGGTCTTTAGACGGAACTTGA